GGAGGTAGAAGGGGAATTGCATGGATGGTGGAAGGAGACCCTCATCATTATACAAAATACATATATGAAAGTGTGAGAAAAAAAAGAATAGCGTTACCTTAGATTAGGTAGAGAGAAGTGACGGGAGAGGAGGTGAGGGGATGGGGGATAGGAGGGATAGTAGAATGAAACGGACATTATTATTACTGTGTGTATATATGTGACTGCATGACCAATGTGATTCTGCAACCTGTACACTCAGAAAAATGAGAAATTATTTCTCATCTGATTCAAATGTATGATATGTCAAGGTCATTGTACTGTCATGTGTAACTAATTAAAACAAATTTAAAAAATCGATTAAATAAAAAAATAAAATAAATTGATGGCAAGGTATTTATTGGCAAAAAAGATGTCAATATTTTATAGTGGAAGAGAACATAAGACCCATTTTTCCCAGGTTGTTACATGCATCTATCTATGCATAGATGCAAAGGGGGAAAAGTCCATGAAGTTCAATTCACCACAGTGTTAATATCTCTCCTCTCTGTGCTGGGATCATGAGTGACATTTATTTGTTTGTTTCCATGTATTTTCTAATTTTTCTACAATGAACATGAACTGAAAGAAAAGTTTTCTCAGGAAGCACGGGTATCTTCTAAGAAGAAGAAATTTAACAGACCATTCTAAGCCAATATTAGTCCTACTTTGATCACAGGCAAAATAAATGATTATGTGATCTTCCAGTTTACTTCTCAGTATTCCAAAAATAACTTATGTCTTTCTCCAAGACAATGCCTTGCTGCTAATTTATTTAACCCATTTTCATTTATATCAGTTGCTTTTACAAACAAAACCATCAAATACAGACTTGAGGTGTTTATTATTCCCACATGACTACTATTTTGTGTGTGTGTGCCAAGCAACTCTAGTAAAATCTGGTCTTCTAATTTTTATTTTTTAAAAAAACCTCTGCTTCTAAGGACACTTCTATTTGCTCCTTCTCCATCACCTCCACAATGCCAGGGTATCGATGGATAATCAAAGCCAGGGGATAAATATGCTTTATCTTCCTGGAGCAATTTTACACAGACATGGGAGGCAAAAGATGTCATTTTCACAGTAAAGCAAACATTATATTATGCAGTCAAATAGAAAATTTCCACAAATTTTAAAAACAAAATAGGAAACTTCAAATTTTAAACATATAAGGCTGGAAGCAGAGCTTTCCCCTCTAGAATTTCCACTCCTTAAGAGTTCTGGGGAGCTGAGTTCCTTTCTGATAAACCTTAAAGGATTCACCAAAGGAAAAGTTTGAAATCTAGGACATTTGCCCATCTGTTTGCTTATCTATTAGCCATCAATTCTTCCACAGCCTAGGAAATGAGCCCTCACCTCCAGGACTGCACGCTTACAAAAATGTCCTTTACAGAACCATCTTTTGCTCAGGAACTGAATGTCCTATACAGAACAATCCACAAGTCATGGTACTCAGTCAGTGGCATTTGAAATATATATATACTAAAACACAAAAATGGGATAGTAGAATGAATCAGACATTATTACCCTATGTGCATATATGATTACACGACTGGTTTGATTTACATTATGTACAACTAAAAGATTGAGAAGTTGTACTCCATTTATGTACATGCCAAAATGCAGTCTATTTTCATGTATAGTTAATTAGAACAAATTTTTAAATGTTAAGAAGAAAATGGTTATAGGACACAATTTAAAAGCCCACCAATTGCTTAGCAAAAGGTGCTCTGGATAGAGTGAGCATGGAAAGTAGCCCAGTTGAAGTCTACAATCCCTACCAGGAACAGACCTGATTCTTCCAGGTTCATTTAAAGCCTTAAACTGTATATATTAAAAATGAAATACAAGAGCTAGGCTGTGGCTCAGTGGCAGAGCGCTTGCCTAGTATGCATGAGACACTGGGTTCCATTCTCAGTACCATACAAAAATAAACAAATAAAATAAAGGCATTCTGTCCATGTACAACTACAAAAAAAATGTTTTTAAATGAAATATAATAGGAAAAAGATACACTGAGGGGTATCTTTCTTACCCCTTATCTTAGACTTAAGATTAGACTAATTTATACTTAGACTATTGTTATTTGTAGGAAAAGAAAAAGTCCAGCGCCCTAAGTCAGTGTTAACATATGCAAAAGAGCACATTTCCATTTAGGCCATTTAAATTGCCCACAACAAAAAGAGTCTCAATTATAAAAATTAATCTAAAATAATGGGAGATTGACCTTTCGGAATAGATAGGTTTGAAAGAAAGAGCCCTAGCGGGTGAAACCAATTTTCCTGGGTGTAGTTTCCATGCTTGATTTGCTATACAAATATTTTATTATGTTTTTAACCTTTAAGATATCTCTTAAATGAAGTAAGTCCCCTGACTTGTTTTCCCAATAGCTATAACAATGGCATCTTTAGCTAGGTGGGAGAATCACTAGAATGGAACATGCTATTTAACAAATTGTACAGCAATATTCAATTATCACTTCAAATATAAGCCATTTTCTCTCCCTATTCCAGTGGCATTTAGATTACTTTTTTGTTTGGGGGTCTCTACTATGTCTGATTTGGTTAAAATCAACCAGGGGGACCAAATCCATCCCGTTTTAAACCAACAGGAAGGCAGATCATAAAATCCCTGCTTTACCAATAGCAATGACTCAGAAAAAGGTGTACTGAATTAATTTACTGGTTTGATACATATAATATATTTGAGAGGAGCAGAATGGGGATATTGCATTGCAAGAAAGCAGCCTTATCTAACTTCATAGGAAAAACATTTACACACTGCCTTAGCTATCAGACTACAAAGTTGAATCAAAAAGCCAATATAAAACAAAATTTGGGAGCAAATGTAAATCAGGAAAAATAATCAATTTTTATTTAGCACAATGTATTGTGCAAAGGAGGCACTCAATGAATGTTGGGTGACTATAACAGTGACAATACTTTGTCAGTATTTCTCAAAATATGCTCCTTTGATCACCTCCACTAGAGATGCAGTGCTACTCCTTTTATTTAATTCAAGAAATGTTTGTTAAGTATTCTGGGCACTAGGGATATAATAGTGGGCAGACAAGGCAAAAAATCCTACTTTCTTAGAAACCATTTTCTACTTGGAGTAGAGAAAAGCCAGACAATTGATCAGCAAAATATAAAGTGTGTTAGTGGTCAATGCTTATGAGAAAAATAAAGCACAAAGCGGGTATGAAATATGGTAGGGATGGGGTGACCAGGGAAGTACTTTTGGGAAGGGGACTTTAGAGTAAAGATGGTGAAAGTAGAAAGTCATGTAGATAACTAAGGGCAGAGCATACTAAACAATGCTGATAGCACGTACAGAGTTTCTGAGTTCAGAATATCAAGGAATGGCAAAGAGGTCAATGTGGCTTGGCAAAAGGAGATGAGAGAAACAAGGGTGCAGACCATGGAAGTCCTTGTAGCTCACAGTATAGTTTCATTTATGTACAGAAATGGGGAGGTTAGGGTTTTGAGCAGAAGAGTGGCATGGTCTGACTTAGGTTTTAACAGGCTTTCCTTGGCTTCTCTGTGGAGAGAAGAAAGCAGGTGAGCAAGGGCAGAAGCTGGAAGAGGAGCTACTTGTTTCAAAAAGGCAGAGTTTGAAATTTCTGTTTTTAACAAGGTCCCTAAGTGATTCTTAGGCACAGTAAAATTTAAGAACTGAGAGTTTATCTAAGCAATTGAAAAAAAACTTGATTTTATGATCCGATTATTTGAAAATCACCATCCATTGCATCACTGTGCCTGTAGAGAAACTAGGTATAAATCATCTGGACTAAATTCAGCTACCAACCTACCAATTTGGTTACGCAGTCTCCAACCAGTGTTTCAGGAAGAGAACTCCATAAGAATCTTGGCCCCCTATTCTGTGACACAGGACATCTTCTGAGAGAGGAGACTCCTCTCCTTCCTCTACAGAGAAGAAGATTAGAACTAATGGAATCACTCCATGGTGATGTACTTTATAAGGTAAGGCATTCCTTAAGGACAGACATTCCATAAGCAGGATAAGTTTCAGTGTTCAGCTAAAAATCATATGAGCAGGGCCTTTCTCCGTTTTTTTAAATAAAGATTTTCCTTTTCTTTTAAACAGAAGCAAGTAAGCACTGTGTGTCATTCTAAATATGTATATAGATTCTAAACTTATATTCTAATTTGTCATATTCTCTATGTATCCTATATATTTAGGATACATATCTATACTTTATATTCTAAATATATTCATGTCAAAATAGAATTCATGACTAGTTCTTTTTAATGCACTAATAAACACTTATTTTCACAAAATTTTAATAATTCTTTCTGATTATCATAATGATAACAACTATGATTTGTACAGTACTTTATAGTTGAGAGACTAATGAGATGCTACTCCATAAACCATACATAAAAATTTCTTTCTACTTTATAGTCACATTATACTCACATATACACACCTTATAAATTAACTAGTTTGTAATATATTCAATAACAGAGAACTGAAAGTGTGTTCTAATTTTGAAATTATTTTATATACCTATTTTTTATGGCTCCTCCAAATTTTGCACACAAGTAAATTCTTAACCACCCATGGACTAACCAATTTAAAGCAATACAACAGTGAGAATCAACTATCAGATATTTTGTTCTTCTAATTACTTGACTTCATTGGCTTCATCAAAAACCAAAATTTAAAAATTTCAAGAGGTTTTACCTTAATAACTGAAAAGGACATAAAAGTGGATTTACTAGAACAACGATTTACTGTTCATGAGAACATTTATATCCTGCTGCTACTTTTCCTTGAGTACAATTTCCTTGAGGTATCTCATCATTAAGGTCTGATTCAGGGTAAATTTTACAAAGATACATAATAAACTAGATTTTTTAAAAGGCATTCATTGTTAACAGTATGATAGGTTACCTAGGCACAGTTAGCATTTTGGATAGAGCACAGGTAATTGATTACAATTAATGGATGCTGATTACCTTCTTGAGCGGAAGAAGCCTCTAGGTGATGAAGTTTAAGGCCAGTGTCTAATCTTTGAGGTTTTGTATACAGAAATAAATAGCAAAGGACACAGACGCTGACGACAAAGGCAAGTAAAACAAGGGCAGCAATCCCCAATCCAATCAGAGCACCAATGCTGAGGAAAACAGAAAAACCATGTCACACAGGCTGGTATGCACACAAACTATGGAGCAGGGTTAAACAAGTTGGTTCACATTTTCGATCATTCATACCCAAATTATACCTTCACATAAACAGTAAATGACTGAAATCTGTACTTCACTTTTTTCTACCAACATGTTATTATTACATCTTCTCTACATGTTTTCAAGGCCCTTTTAAATGTATTTGTAAGTAGGGAAAACTGTGAATTCATGATATAGGTATAAGGTCACATGATCCCTAGATAACTTTAAAAAATCTCAAATAAACATCTCCAATTACTATCTTTTAGAAAGAAACATCAGGCTAACCAATAAAAGATGAATAGAAAATATATTTGCTTCTGTGAAAGTCATGAAGTTTTATATTCTTAAATATAAAACATATATTTTATGTTTTACATTTAGGAACATTTTTATTTTATATTTAGGAACATAAAACTTTTCTTTTGGAAACATATTTGAGATACCACTTATTGATATAAAAAACCATAATCGTTATAAAAGAGAAAAAGCTTTGAATGAAAGAAAAACAGTGTACACAAACTGTTTATTCCATCTTCAGTCTGAATTTTTCCTGTCTAGAAAGGCCTAATACTATGCCCTCTAGCACCTAGAAAAAAAAAAGCTCTTGTACTTTTCTCCAAAAATGATATATATTCAATCATATTTTCTCTGCAGTAAATTTGCAATAATTCTTTTATGCAGTTACCCATAAAGCTAACCATTTCAAAAGTAATTTAGTCTTCCTGAACCTGTGAAATTAGCTCTATTAAATTAAAATAGGAGCTTAAAAAAAGCATCATTTTGAATGACTACCATTCAAACATATGCTTCTCGAACCACATATGTGTGTGTGCATATCTATAATTGGATTTTAAAAATATTTTTAGTTATAGATGGACACAATACTTTTATTTTATTTATTTATTTTTATGTGGTGCTGAGGATTGAACCCGGGATCCCACACATGCTAAGCAAGCACTCTACCACTGAGCCACAACCCCAGTCCCTACAATTGGATTTTAAGCTGCTCAAGAGCAAATATTTCAGTTGACTTTTTCATAGTGCTGTAAACACTTATTAAGGGCTTAGCTTATAGAACATATTCAAAAAATGAAAGTAGGTAATAACTGACTGCTGATTGATCAATCTGTAGTAATATGGAACATACATCACTGAAAATTACAACCGTTTTCATTATCTTCTTGGCTTGCCTTAAGGCTTCTGCTGTCTCCCAGAGATTAGAGCCCTAACAAGCCTAACAAAAGGGAGGGAAGAGGGAATTTGATGAGAAATGCTAGAAGCATCATTGTTTTGGGATAAAGGAGAATAGTATTAAAGGAGAAGGGCTAAGGACACTCTACTTACTCTTGATTGAGGAGATAAATCATCCTTGCAAATAAGAAATCACCTTCTGAGCTACAACATGGAGTCAGACTTCCAGAGATTCTTGTGCTTGATTTATTAATATTGGCCCAGTTTCAATAGCCCTGCACCTAAGTGAAGACTGGATAATTTTATGGCTGAGGAAGTACAGAGTTATATATTTAAACTTGGGGATTGCCCCCATGTGGAGCACTTTCCTCTAAATGGATAGATTCTCTGTGTGTGGCAGCTCTTCATGTTTGCACCAAAGCTGACTTGTACATTCTAAGTGTCAGGGTGGGTTGGAATCTCTCTGCTCTATACAAACACATGGAAATGTAATCCACTTAATATTATTTGGTGAACAAGGCCCACAGGAGATTAGACATCTATAGATTCCTGAAATGAGAAGTTTAAAAAGTCTTCAAAGTGAGTAAGTGATTTAGTCAATTAAAAAGTAAAATTGTCAATTTAAATAAAGACAACATCTATTATATGAACTTGTCATGTACACATTTTAAAAACAGGCCATGAAATTTGAAGGAAAGATAAAAAGAAAACATGCCATTTCTGCTTTTTGGTATAAAAGCTGTTCTTCATAATCTTGAAAATGTCTCAAGCTGAAAATGTCACAGCTCCAGGCTATAAAAGCATTGCTTTATGTATGCAAAACTCTAGTTTAAACTCTGGGTAGAGATGGAGCTGTAGGAGTCTCCTCAATATACATTTCAACAAATGCTTAAATCCATTTATGCATAGCCCTGTCTAATAGGCACTATCTTTCTGGGTCCTAGATAAAGTATCAAAGGAAATCCTAAGAACTTAGGGATTTATAGGGGGCGAGAAAACAGGAATGGGCAACACATGGGAAAGCTCTCCTTTCCTCATAGCACCAGGTAACAGTTGTTTTTTAAGCCCTCAGAGAACATTGGAAGCTGCTTTCACATTATTGTAGCAATGTTCCTACTAAACGATTGCAGTTACCCTGTGGGAACTACCACTGTGTGTGTCTCTCTCCAGCAAATGCAGAATCTCAATACAAGGACTAGTGACTTCTGGATTATTTTTCACAGTTGAACTATTTTAAATTAGAAGTGAAAAGCAAAGACTAGGAGGGAAATGAAGCTCTAATAAATTTACCTCCCCATTGTGTTCTCAGAGCTCAAGAACTCACAAGAACTACAGGTTTAACATTGCCAGCTGATGCCATCAAAGTAATTTTTCTGTTTCTCAGGAACCGAGTTGTACTGCCCATTATGCCAGTGCTGAATGAAGCCCCCTCGTTCACTCTTTTGTTTCCTCATGAATCTTAGAAAGGTTTTATATTTTCTGCTGCTTGTCACTTTTGGAACTATTTAGGGATCTGAGAATCTCAGGCATAGTTTCCAATTGAGTTTGACTTAGGCGTTGCCAGTCTTTGTTGGAAATGCTCTGCTGTTATTAACACCTTCAAAGACTCAGAGATGGATTACTGCTATTTTCCAAAAGGCCAAGTAATATGCCAGTGCCATACAGATTCCTTCCTCAAGTAAGCTAAGCATAAGCTGGCATTTTCTGCTGTTTTGCCTCACTCCAGTACAACTTTATGAGTACAACTTGTAAGCAGGCACTCCTTTTGAGAGTTTTTCAAAATTTGCAATACAGAAAAAAATTATTTTATTATTTCAAGAAATAACGTTTAGTCATCTATTGTGGACTCAGGATCATGCTATGAGACTGGGAGAAATAATACTGTAACTCTTCCTAGCAGAATCTCTCTCTCTCTCTCTCTCTCTCTCTCTCTCTCTCTCTTTCTCTCCACACACACACACACACACACACACACACACACCTCCCTCCAGACCTCCTTGCCCATACATTAATTAAATTAACTAATTAGTTTGAAAGAAACAGTTCAAGGTGGGAGGGGATTCTTTCCTACAATCTTGGAACCCCATTATTCTCCAGGCAAAAATCAAAGAATCAAGTTCAATTTCAAACTTTTAGAATGGGGTCATTGCACAATGAAAATGTCTGTGTAAATACTAGTCGAAATAAGTAAAATTCCCATCATAGGAAAAACAAGACTGCCTCGAAAGGCTCTTCACTTTTCTGCAATGGTCAAATGACTCAGGTGTTTGGGAAAAAGGGTGCCCTTGAAAGGTTACTCAGCGGGTGTAATCAGAGCAAGGAAAGACTCTACCTTTCCCTGGGAATCTCTTCAATTTGGTTTGCAAGGTCAGTATCAGATCCTCTGAAAAGAGCAAGTTATGAAGCCCAGTCGCCTTCCTACACACACACACACACACACACACACACACACATCTTTTTTTTTTTTTTTAACGTTTGAAGGAACAAAACCAATTCTTCACCGCCCTCCAAAGAGACTAAATACTCTGGTCCTTGGTTAATCCATTAAAACGAGACCCACAGGTGACTCCTTTGTGTTTAAATGAATCAAATGAACAAATCAAAGAGGAATTAAAACCTTCACCCTAACTTATCTATTTGACCTCTCCTCCTATCCAAGGCCAGAGGTCCGCAAGGAAGACAGGAAACCGAGCCTGGTCAGTCCTGGCGGGTCTCGGGTGCGCCCGGGACCCAGAGTCCGCCCTCCTCGGCTCCTGGCTCCTGGCGGAGTTCTGAGCCCCGGCGAGGTTTCTTTCCTGGGCCCTCGCAAACCCTTTGGAGGCTCCGCATGCTTCCAAGGGACCTGACCAGGACCGGTGGAGGAGTCCAGGTGAACTCCCCGGCTCCAGCGCGCCACCGCTCATCGCCACCCTAGACACGGGCCCCGGGCGCGGGACGCGCGGGCTCCCTGCCCTGCCCTGCCCTGCCCAGCCCAGCCTACCTGAGGCTCCACATGTAGCTGTGCTTGTAGGGGAAGTAGCTGCCCGGCTCACTGCAGCAGTACTTGAGGTCCGCGAAGCCGCAGCAGTAGAGAAGCGCGGCCCCCTCGCCGCGCCGAGGGCACTGGAAGGACTCCACGAAGGTATGGTTGAGGCTGTAGTAGCCGGAGCACAGCCGGCTGGTCTCACTCATCGCGGGCGGCTGTCTGCACGGCGGAGCGATGCGCCCTCCGACTGAGCGCGTGCTGTCCCTGGCGCCAGCGGGCCCCTCCGCCCAGCTGGTCTTTTCTGATCTGGGGTCTAGCTGCCTGGATGCTCAGCCTCCGCGCGCCCCTTCTGCTCTCTTTCGGTCCACGCGCTTTACTTTCGCCTACAGTCTCTCGCTACTGAGTGGTCCTTTTATCTGCCGGTCTCAGCTCTAGACCTCTTCGCCTGCTCCTTTCGACTCTTGTTGCGCTCTGCTGCTTCCCCTCTACTTTCCCTCACTCCATCAAGAGCTGTCCCCGCTCTGTGCCAGAGAGCTCTCATAGGAAGAAAAAGTGGGAGAGTTGAACAAGTTTGCAATCTGGGCAGATGCTGCTGAAGTCGCAGTTCTGTTTGCCCAGGGACTGGGCAGATGGATTCGGGCAAATAGAGCTGAGCATTTGCCTCCAGGGCCATTGACTCCAAGAGTGGAGGAATGGATCAAATAAAAGGCAGCTGAACTGCTAGTGAGGGTGGTGGGTGATTTCCTTCTTTGAAAAGTACACGTGAAATATTTAAAATCTGCTGATTTTAAAGTCAAAAACAAGAAAAAAAATTCTCCAAAAACTAGCCATGAGGGGCTAGGGTTGTGGCTCAGTGGTAGAGCCCTTGCCTCACACGTGCGAGGTCCTGGTTTCCATCCTCAGCACCACATAAAAATAAATAAGTGAAATAAAGATGTTGTGTCCAACTCAAAAATAAAATATTTTTTTAAAAAAAACTAGCCATGTGTTTTAAAAACATAATACTGTTGCTCTTTTTCCAGATAAACAACATGAAAAGGAAGGAAGAGATGGAGATAAAGAAAACTAAAACTTTTTCCCTCCATTTTTTATTGATACATTATAGTATACATAATGTTGGGATTCATTGTTACATATTCGTACATGCACGCAAAGTCACAATATAATTTGCTCATTCCCCGCATTTCCCTTTCCCTCCCCTCCCCTCCTTGCTCCCTCTTGTCTCAGAAAGCAAGAACTTTCCATAAAGGGTGGCAGAAAAGGAGAGAGACGGAGGAAATAGGAAGAACAAGACCTTCAGTCAGTGTTGAAGGGTTGCAGAAAGGGCTCTTGTCCCCTTCCTGCTTGGTATTCTCATTTTCCTAATTGGCTTATTCACAGTCTTTTAAAATAATAGCGAATCCGTGCTTACTTAATATGCCAAATAATACATAGGGGTATGTAGAAGAAAATAATAATAGCCTTATGATGGGAGGGCAGGAGGTGCTAACACTCAGAGTTTATAGATAGAGCATTGTTTCCTTCTCCTTTTCTTTGCTTCCTTCCCTTGGCCAGGAGTTTGATTGAGTGATGACATCTTGAACTTTACCTTGTTGTGAACAGGATATTTTTATATTCCTATATATATTCTAGAAATATGCTCTGCAATACAGTTACTTGGAAACAGATTGATTCTTTCAGGTGTGCTTTTAAGCTTTGTTAGGCAGGAATAGAACCGTCATTAGGACTAAATTCTCCCCTACTACTGAGTCCATATACTTCTGAGTACTCTACCCAATATTCCAGCCCTGTGACAGTGCTGAGGCTTGTTCCCTCTGTTCCTTTCAGGTCTTTCTTTACCTGGCCGGAAGCAGTTTTCTCCCAGGCATGCACTGATCAGTACTCAAAGACTCTGGTGATCTCCAAAGCTAATGCCCATATGTGCATTCTCTCCTCTCTCTCCTCCCCTCCCTTCCTCCCTACCTCAGTTTTCTCTTCTCTGGCACTGGGTCCTGCCCCCTCTTCCTCTATGGCTTCCCTGGTCTCCCAGCTCTGCCTTCTCAATTTAGGGAGCCTACCTGGCTCTACCTGGGCTTCCCCTCCCTGCAGTACAGCCTGCAAACTCTCCAGACAGGGAGTAGGTATCCCTGTCCTGCACTGCCTGATAACCATGTCCAGAACCCATTGTGTCATACATTTTGATTATTTACTTGTCTCAGTGCTGAACTCATCTGGGGAATTAGACCTGATCCAAGCTAGGTCAGGTAGGGTTTCTCTCCTGGAACTAGGATTCCATTATTGTTGACAGGAGGCCACAAGAAGCTAGTGTACAGGAAAGAGAAAAATGAAGCAAAGGGGAGCAGAAAAGAATGGTTGAAAGGTGGTCTTGCAATTTTTGTTCTTCTTTTCCAAGGACCATGGCATACCTACCCTGGAATTCTTGAGATGCCTGTTACCTAAAAGAAAAATCGCCCTTTCTGGTGAAAGTGCATTCAAGGTGGTTTCTACTATGGCTGTGTACCTACCTCATAACTGCATTTTGGATAACAATGGGCCACATATACAACAGTAGTTCTATAGGATTATATTTCCTAGTGACCTTATAGCGGGTTTAGTTTCCATAAGTATACTCTTAAAATGTTCACTCAATGGCTAAATCACCTAACAGTGACTTTTTTCAGAATGTGTCCTTGACAGATGATGCTTGTCTATTCTTGCAAACCAAAGAGACTCAGGCAAAATATCTATAGGGAAAAGTGCGGAGAAAAGGCAACTGAAGAAAAACTGAAGTTCTTTAATTAATGAACACTTCCCTTGGAAGGGAGATAAATAGAACAAGAAAAAAAGAAATTTAGAGATAAGAAAGAAAGTGATCTGGGACAATATTGATTGTCACAATAAAGCATGTAAAGTGTTCTATGGAGCCTGAGTCAACAGGACAGAATGTGGGAACAAGGTTGGGTAGCAGGCAGAATGGAATAAAAAGAGTAGGTACCTTGCTGAAGGCCCAGTTTTAGCAAGAAGCCATGTGTTTCCAGCAGAACTTCTCCAACAATGAGCATTCAACCATAGAGGCACAGAAGCGAGTCTTAAGAGCAGTGTAAAGATTGGCTTTCAATCGTTCAGAAAATGCCTCACCTCTGGCTTGCTTGCTTTGTGGCTGCAGCCCTCAGCCTCCTCTGGTAGGAGGAGTTCTGACAGGGAGTGGGGTGTGACTGGTCCAACAACCAAAAGATAGCCTTCCATTATATCTTTCATTTTCTCCTTTTATTTAAGCGATTATCAGCAAAGGTTCCCCTTTAGGGAATATTTTGGAAATGAGATGTTTTGGTGTGTTGCTCTAACAGGATACTCTAGTAGCACTGAGGGATGTGGGCCAGGGTTGCTAGACAACTTGACATCTTGCAAAATGAACTGTCTGTGACTTTTCAAATGCTCTACAAGACATTCATGTAGGTGAAAAACCTATCTATAATTATTTTTGACTAGAACCTATCTGTGTGTTCCAAATAAATACAATGTATTTCTTGAATTTTCCAGGAATGCAACTACCATGTAAATTGAAGGAAGATTGTTCTTTGTTTTGCTTGGAACTTTACCAAGAGCTGTTCACTCTTTCAGAAAATCCTGTGCCAAAAGCAATATTGCTAAAGGTTTTGTTTTTGTGTTGCTAGAGTCATACACTGTGCCAGTCTGCATTTGTACTGTCACTCCAAAGTAATTTATAGCTGTTGCATGCAGAGTATTGGTGTAAGAATGATGATTTTTGCTGTATTGTGCTTGAGCATTTACGTATAGAAATACATATTTTATTGCAAATGAAGTATCACTTATTTTGTCTTTATAATACACTAAGTCTACATATACACAAATATACATATAATTAATATATTCATTTTCTAGGACTGCTGTAATAAAGTACCACAGACCAGAACAGCCTTGAACAGAAATCTCTTTCTCACAGTTCTGGAGGGTAGGGATCTGAGATCAAAGTGGCAGAGGGGTTCCTTCTGAGCCCTGTGAGGGAGAATCTGTTCTAGGCCTGTCTTCTTAGCTTTGAGATGGGTCTTCTTCTTGTATGTGTCTGTGTCCACCTGTTACATTGGATTAAGCTCACACTAATGATCTCATTTTAACTTAAATGCCTCCTTAGAGGCCCATCTCCAAATACAGGTGCATTCTGAGATAGTGGGGTTTAGGATCTCAACATGTAAACTTCTTAGGAGGGAACACAATTAAACCCATAACAATTATGGAAGGTAAGACACATCATGTCTACGTACAAATTTTATTTCAAGATAGCAAAAGGAGAAATTAGAAGTACTTCTTATCAAATGGGGACATTGAGTTGGACAGGACTGAGAATTGCTGGTACAATTTCTCGTTCAGACAGTAGTAAATAGTGTGCCACATAGGTGAATGCTGCTCCTTAATTCTAATTGATAGAACAAGTGGCCAGAGAGTAGGACTAAGAAAGTACATAAAAGGATATAAGAAGTCCAACAAAGTCAACTTGGCTGTAGAAATAGTGAAGAGGCCAGATGAGTGTTTTGCTCAAAAATCTTCTGCAGATCCTTATTTCTAAAAGCACATGTAATCAATGCTACTCTATTTTTCTAACTTAATTTCTCTCTTGATCATCTATAATGTGCTTTCAGACTGCTGTTGTCACTGATGTCTGTGTGCCAGTTATAAAAATTAGTCTTCTTCCTGTCCCCCAAATATCTGAATGTTTGTTTTTCTATCTAAGGAATGCTATGACTTCCTTCTGTCTCTATATCTCATCCAGTTCTCAATGCCCAGTTCCAGGATTTTCTCACCAAAATTGATAGAATTGAGTGAGCAGTTGTGGACAGAGTAAGATCTTGAAAAGACAACACAGAAAGGCCAAGAGGAAAGAAGGATTGTGAGAGAGCTGAAGTTCTGGTTTACAAGTCATCTGGCAACAGAACATATGAATAAAATTCATGACAGTAAAAGAAAGATTACAAACGGAGAAGAGAGAAACTGGATGAGAAGGGTGCTGATTAATTCTTTTTTTTTCGGTGGGGGGCATATCTGGGATAGAAGTAGGGTACTTGACCACGGGGCCACACCCCTACCCCTATTTGGTATTCTATTTAGAGACAGGGTCTCACCGAGTTACTAAGAGCCTCGCTTTTCCTGAGACTGGCTTTGAACTCGCAATCCTCCTGCCTCAGCCTCCGGAGCTGCTGTGATTACGGGTATGTACCACCATGCCCAGCCTGATTAATTCTTGATGCAGAAAGTGTGAACCATCTTCATCCCTAGAGCTGAGCCATGTCCTTCATGGTACCAGTCTACCACAGAGTTAGTATTCCTGGGTTCCTGTGTCTTATGGGGAGGGATGCTCCTCCTGAATATATTCTACATCACAGCTATTTGGAACACAGATCATCAAAATACACATTCCATAAAAATTCCAAACCATAAAATCCCTATGAAGTATGTTTGTTGTTGCCTACTAGCATCTATTCCTCCTGCCCTCCTTTCTAAGATTATTCATAGATTTGTTTTTCTACTCAGACCACACTCTTTGGGAGTGGCTGATCCTTCCCCAACACCAGGATGGCCCCTGTTTGATAGGCACCAGTCATTGGCTCAAGGTTCAGCATACAACTGACCCAACCAAGCATGTTGAATC